TCATGAAGAGATTGAGTGTGAGGATATCACGTGGCAAAACAAGAAGCCAAAGAGAGATCAGTTTTGGGAGGGGCCAGTTTTAATCTTTTACAATAATCCTCTCATAAGAACTGCCCAGTGCTTCGTAAGTACTACCCTAATTTCTTCTAGGGGAATACCCCCAATCATTTTACTATGCCTCCCAGGCCCACCTCCTAATGGTCCCACCACCTCTCAACATCACCAGACTTCCAACGTGGGAACCATACACAAACCCCAGGAGTTGGCATTTTTAGATGCTGCTTTATCAGTAGCTTACATAAGCATTTTTCCTGATTTGCAGCAGCTCATTATATGGCTTCCTTTTTTTAAACTTTTCATTTCTCGATGTAAAAGATTTTTTAAGATAAACCTGTTTAGATAAATAGGCTTATTGTTTGGTATCATATCAATGTAAGCATATTTCAACCTTTTTTAAAATTTCTGTGGTTTTGCTTTTACAAAACTGTTTCTATCTACCACCTTGTCCACATTCTCACTGTTTAGATTACATCTTTGTACAGTAGTAGAGAAGGTGGGAGAAATTTATTGCATTGGGAATATGCTAACATAGTAAATTTAGAAAGAATCTAACTTGTCATTTTGAGAAATAACAGAATTTTTAAAAACTGCTCCAGTCTCTGTTTCGAAGTTGAAATGGTCAAGGTTGCTTGTAGACTATTTTTTATTGTGACACCTAAAGATTTTTTAACTAGAGAAAAAGAATATTGGACTCAAAATTTGTTGATTGCCATTCTTCTATCAGATCTGTGGTTTAAAATTACTTACTCTAAGCATTGTTTTTCTTGTGGAGGTGGTGGTGTGGGGATAGTGATGATGTTGACGGCGGTATTAGGATCACGATCATGAGATTTATTTAAGAAACTGAAACTAAGTGTTCAGTTTAGGGCCTATTAGGTATTCAGGAAAACACAACAAGACAAAAGGTTTAAGTACTGAGAAGATGGAAATAAATATGTTATCACTTGGTTCCTAGAAAACCTATGACAAGTCAGTGGAACAACTATTAGAACTAACACCTATATTTTCATTTCAAATTCCTTTTCTCTACATCTGTCTGCTTTCTCTTGTACATTACTATGTGGATATAGAGAAGCCCCTTAAACTAAATGTACTTAAAATGGACTAGTTCAAACCTATTCCTCATTAAGTTAAATGAAGAGCACTAGCATCATCTACCTGATTACATGAGCCTGAGTTTCCTCCTCTGTAGATACGAATGTATATGTGAAAATGTGACAATATGTTCATCTATGCAGATTGTATTCAGTGAGCACCTGGTACATTCTAGACCTTCTTCTTGGTACAAAGGGGATAGTGGTAAAATGCTTCTGCCTCTTAAGTCTCTTCCTTCCTTCCTTCCTCCCTCCCTCCCTCCCTCCCTTCATTCCTTTCTTTTCTTTTCTTTTCTTTTCTTTCTCTCTCTCTCTCTCTTTCTCTCTCTTTCCTTCCTTCCTTCCTTCCTTCCTTCCTTCCTTCCTTCCTTCCTTCCTTCCTTCCTTCCTTCCTTGTTCTTGCCAGGCAGGGGTGGTGCCACTGAGCTAAATCCCTGTCTCTCTCAGTGTCTTATTTTCTAGTGTGAGAGTAGAGATGAGATCATATTTATGATACATGAGGGCCGGGGATTTAGCTCAGTGGTGCCACCACCTGCCTCGCAAGTGCAAGGTCCTGAGTTCAATCCCCGGTACCAAGGAAACCTCAACAACTTATTTATGATACATAAAGAGTAAATGCTTTAGATGAAGACAGAAGCAGAGCAGTGGTAATAGGGAGCACTGGATGAGGGCTCTGCTTTCTATATAAGGCAGTAAGAGAAGACATTGCCAGGAAGTTTTAACAAGATTCTTCTGCTGCATTGTGGTAAAGAGAAGAAGTTAGCAATGCCCAGAAGTGGGGAGACTAGCTGGGAAGCAGTTGGGATCTGGCAGAAAAGATCCCAACATGAGGAGTAATAGTAACCACAAAGATGGTGAGATTTCATTATTTTAGTGAATACCCAGGTGGAGAGGATGTGTGACTGAAGGAAACAGAAAATTTCAAGCTTTTTGACTTGAGCAATTGCATTAAAGAATATTCTTATTTTTCTGAGATGGGGAAAACTGTTAGAAGAGCAGATGTGGAGGTGTGTATGTGTATGTTGAATGCTCGGTTTCAGTCAGTCTAATGGAGGCATCTGTTAGATAGCCAAGTAGATTTATCAAATGTAAGCAGTTGGATATTCAGGTCTGGAACACATAAGACAGATATGGTTTGGACCAATAATTAGTCCAGTTTCCATGATAGAGTCTGCTTTTGGAGCTCATCTGTTCTCTCTGTTCCTGTTGCTCTTGGAGAGGGTACCATTTACTCCCATTTGGATTATATAGTTTCTTCTGTCTTGCCTTTGTCTTTATTTTTGCCACCCTTTCCAGTCACCTTCAGTAGCCTGAATTTTTTCTAAAATGTAATTTTCTTATCAGCTCTCATAAAGTGTTAAAATCTTCGGTGTCTCCTCAGTACTGTGACAATGAAATTCAGACTTCCTTCTTTTTTTTCCCCCTTCTTCTGATTTAAAGGGTCCTGGATTGTGAGGTGCCTGATTTATTTCTGGTGCTATTTATTTCTATTCCGTATTCTTTGTTCTTACTATCCCACATGGCTCTGTGTCCTCCAAATTCTCACACCTATACACCTTCAAACATTGTCCTTCCATTATCACTATATTCTCCTGCTGCTCTTGATTCTCACCTGGGTAATTTCTTTTCACTTTCAAGCTTTTGTTTAGATGATGATTTACTCCATAAGGACTGTCTCTGAGAAGTACAGATTAGAGTGCTTTTCTTCTCTTGTGGTTCTTACCAAGACATGGCCAATATATAAAGGGTGAACAAAATTTATGATGAATGTTTGATTTTTTAAAAAAATTACAGTAGAAGACCTATTGCCATCAATTCCTTTGAAAATACTTCCTCTCACTTTGAATATGCTTATCTCATCATTCTTGCCACTTTCTGAAGCAGTTCTGGCAATCCTCTTTTGCAAGTCTTTATAAGGTTTGGTAAAAAATATGGTGAACGCAGCTATCCAGTGCCATTTAATGGAAAGGCAGGCTCAAAAAAACATTGCAGTGTGTCCTCATCTACCTTATTCACCAGATCTGGCTCTTTGGAATCTTCTCCAGAGTCAAACCATGAAAAGTAAATGTTTCAAATCAAGTCAAGACATCAAAGAAGCCATGATGGTGCCACTAAAGAGAACTTCCAGTGGAAAGAATGATAGAATGAAAGTTTGAAGTGAGGACAAGCATTTTGAGGGAGATAAATGGCAAAACTTTTCTTATTTTTAAATTTAAATATTCACTGTATTTTTGATCATAGCTCATTACCTATGTGTTATAATTGCCATTTGTTTTGTAGTAATCTCTATTGGACCTTAAATTCTGTGAGCCTAGGGATATCTGCATTTTTTTCTGTACATTGTTTAATACAGTAACTTTTACTTTTCTTAAATATCCTATGAAAATGAAAGAATAAAAAAGTAAAGTAACTGATTATATAAATTACAATTTATATAAATTATATATAAATTTACTGGAAATTTTACACAATAACTAGGAGTGTAATTTAGACATCCCTATGTTACCTGACTCTATATAGGTTGCATGTGAAGAATGCTTTATTAAGTTGAATGATTATACATATATGCCACATGATTAGGACGTTTGAAAATGGTCAAGATGTTCAGTCTCCCAGGATTTACTTATGAATTCCTTGCAATTTGAATAGTATTCAAATGGAATTTATTTTGGAACTTTTTAATTACTCGATAACTGATGTGAGAAAATAAGTGAGAAAAGCAATAGAAACTTGAAAAGGATGAAAAATAATTTGAATAGCCTATCAAAAACATGTAAGTCTATAGTACTTAAGCCAGAGTGGTAAGTAGCATAAGAGTAGCACACAATAGAATTAGAAGCTCAGAAAACAGAGAGCTAATATAAGTTATTTAAAACCTGCGAGAATGATGATTGATTATACATGAAATGACACAAAATTAGCTAATAAATATTTTTAGAAATTGAAAATTTGACCCTTAACTCAAATTATGCACCAAAACCTATAATTGTAATATGCTTCTTTTTGATATAAAATAATGCAATTATATCACCTTATGCATATAAAGATCTTGCAGTGAGTTTTCCATTCTGTATGCTTTCCTGATTATTTTTCCTCAACATTAGTGATTCATTTGTGTATATCTACCTAGACATTTCCCCCCTCCCAGCTTGATGTCATAAAAAATCCTAATTTTATAGATGACTGATGTTGAAAAGGGTTGTTCAAGAACACAAGACAGAGGAAAGATGACAGGACCGCCTTACTGGTTGTGGCTGTAAGCTTGATTGTCATCTACTCTACTGCAAACACAGTTTGTATGTTGTTGTTTAAGTAAATTTGTTGTTTTTTTAGCCTGCTGAGTTAAATTGAGCTGAGTATCAATACTTGACTATTTTTCAACAATTTGAAAAAATTGTAATTCTTCAAATTTTGTAGGAGATATATTTTTAAATAAATATGGTATATTAAACATAAAAGAGCTTTGTTTGTGTAGTGCTCTCAGGGCTAACTTACTAACCCATTCTAAGTGTAAGTATATTGTTATAATTGTGTCCTGTACATTCCTCAAGTGAACTAACTATTCATATACTATACTTGATAACATTCATTTCTATAGTGTACACTAGTTTTATTTTTGTGGTTTCTGTTAAACGTTCACATTTTTACTATTTTTTTTTTATAATTTAGGAGCTACAAATATCTGATACAGTTTGAGTCTTGGAATCCATTTTACTGTTTTTATAACTGTGTGGTTTAGAAGACTTAGATTTTTTTTTCATCGTTGGTGATAGAAAGTTCGCTTTTTGTCCTTTTGCACATAAATGCCTTATTGTCCATAGCATCAATCTATCTTTGGTTTTCCAGAGAGAAGAGATGAGGAAGATTTTGAAGAGAAGAAAGTTATTAAGAAAAAAATTAAAGAACTTAAGTTTCTGGATTCTAAGATTGCCCAGAACCTTTGTAAGTATCATATTTCAGTGGTATTAAATTATCAAAACACATGTAGATGGTTTAAATTATTTCATTTTATAACTTGTTTTTCATTTTATGGTTATTTTAATTTTATTGTTATTTGCATAATAAATTCAAATAAAATTCATCTTTATGCAAATTGTAAGATTAAGTTCTTCAAAAGATTAATGCATATTATAAAATAAGAACAGGATTTATTTTGAATTTCTACCTTCCATCACTGAAATGAGAATTATATCTTAAAGTATCAGTTTTAACCATAAAAATAAAGACAAGGAACTTAGGTAATGACATCATATTTTGAAAAAAAAAAGTATTACTCCTTTTATGCCTCTGAATCTCTATTATTTGTGATATTTTATCTCACAAAAAGGAAGTTAGAATATTAATGGAAATAGAGATGATGAGTAAAATAAATGCCATTATCCCATCTTAGCATTTCAAAGCTGTTCCTCAAAAGTACTAACTGGAAATATTTTAGATTTAATTACTGTTTCAGGAGCTGAATAGTGTTGAATTGTCTTCCTGACTGAATTACTGTGAGAGAAGTAGGCAAATAATTTTGCTCCTCTGTCATTTCTAACTGCATCTTAAATGCATCAAAGATAGTTCTGCATGGAGCTGAGATAATATGACATATACACACATTCCTTTCTGATAGTGCAAGAGGGATATAATGTGGAGAATGTAGAGGTAGGAAGAGAGTTAACATAGCTTTTAGTCTGCCTCTCAATTATTAACATGCCTCAAGTGAGCTTTTAGCAAGGATTGGAACAAAATTGTTCTCCAGTGAAAGAATAAAAATTCATGCTACTGATCAAAAAGTTTTATTAAAGACAATATGTGCAAAAGATAGAGTTGACATTCTTTTTTGTAAAAGTTTTGGAAATGACTGTGCTTTATCTTTACTATGACAGAGGATCTTCACTTTCTACAATGTGGGCCTGCTAAGGCCCTCAGGGGCAGTGTGGAGGTGTTAATATTATTGGCCAATATTTAGTTCTTCTTTTCTGAGCTCAGAATGATCATTCACACATGGGTGCTTCTTTTGAGTTAGGTATCACCATGCCACGTGCTTGGGCCAAGGAAACTGTATGCAAAGATGACATCACTTTTGCCTGGGAGAACTTAATGGGGCAGGGGTAAAAACATCAGAAATCTCTGTTGGCATCCAGGATCACAGTCAGAATGGTGTCTGTCATCTTGATACGATGATCATAATCAACACAGCTCTGTCCTTCTGGTGGGTGATGGACATGTACTCTGAATTAGATACAATTTTTTCTGTGTGTGATAATTTAATCCACTGAAATGTAGTTGTTACATTATTTAGTTCAGAGAGTTCTCTCCTACTCTCCTGCAAAAGACATTGTCTCAGTTCAGAGCACTGCATTATTAACTTAGACAAGGTAAGAAATTTCTATACTTGGTGATCTAAAAGAGGTGATTTTGTTTAGAAAAATATCTATGACTGCACACAAGTTACTAGTCTTGAATCTAACCAACCTTTTATGGTTGCTGAAGAAATATCTTTTTGAATACATTACTTTCTGAATTGGTCAATCATGATAATTTTGCTTAAATAGCCACCTCAAAAAGAATAATAACTGGTGGATGGGGTTATTCATATGTTGTAGAGCATATGCTAAATAAGATGTGTTACATAATTGATAGCATGTGCTAATAATTTCTGATTAACTTTATGTGCTAGTTCTATGTTGATTTATGTTTTACGATAAACCTATCAGATAAGTATTAGCATTGACCTTCTAGGTTGAGAATATGGTGGCTTTCGTATTAAAGGGATTTGAATAAGGTAGAAATATTAAGTGTAGTGGATATCTTTTCCTATTTATATATTACAAAATCACATTATTATCATAGAAAAGAATCCTGTTTATGTTGTTTGCTTTAGCTAGAGGATCCATATCCCATTTATTTAGTTGAGAAGCATGTTTTAATGTATAAGATAAAAAGATCCAGAATTTATAATCTGTCATATGATGTTGTCCATTTCAGAATTAGTCTTACCCTCTCAGGTTGTAGCAAGTGTTGTGATTGAAGCTTTCTGAAGCTGCAGAAGCCTGTAATATTTACTGTAGTTATAGTTGGATTCACAGCTGGTTTTTGTCTGTAAAATTTAGAGTCTTGAGATACTATATTCTGAGGAGAGTCATGTTTAGTGACAACTGTTTTTCAATGAGATAATTTCGAGTAAAGCTCGAAATACACTAGAATGGAGAGATTCGCTTGTAAAGCTTATTGAAGAGAAAAATAAGTCTGTACTATATAATCTCTTTGAATTCTCAACTTAAATATTCTGTAGCATTTTGAGAATTTCTGTAGATTTTAAAATCTAAAACTCTCGTTTGTTTCCCTATTTGAAGACTATGCAGGGGGTTCTATATTTTGAGTTCATAAAGGTTTTGGCAAAGATAATCCCTGGATCAAGAGCAGTCCCAGAACCTTTTCGGATTCCTATGGATTTCCACATTTCTTTTTGCATGGGTATTAGAGCTCTAAAGGAAGAAGCCCTGGGCTCTACAAATTAATGTAAATGTTTTACTTTAAACATTTATAAATTACCACACACAATACAATCATGACTGATTTCAAGATCTGGATGCTCTATATTCTTATCAAATCCAAAGCTTCATACTGGAATCTGTATAATCATATTTTGAAGGATAAGATGTGTGTTGGTAAAAATATTTATTTTTATAGGCTTTTTGGAGGCTTTAACTGAGTATCTCTTATATTAAGTATTTTAAAAAGTCTGTACTTAACTTTCAAATTATCTCCTAGGCAATAGGTCATTTTCAACTCTTCTGTAATTTTCTCCCCCTATGATTAGTACAGTAAATGCTTTCCAAAAGACAATTTATTCATAAACTATTAAAACCACAGTTTGACGTAAGTGCGTGTTTTTATAGAGTATGCTAATTTAAATATAGGTGACTGTTTGAAAGTAGAAACAAATGACAAATATAGAAGAAAATATTAGATGTAATAAAAAATATGCAGAATGTTTAAATAAAAATTTATAAAAGTATTACAGTAAAAAAACACATTGCCTATTAAGTTCCCACAAAATATTCCCTCACACTTTGCCCTGGTTTTTCACCAAATCTGCCACCTTGCAACTTCTGGGTCTCCACCAAAGTTGAAGTAACCATGAAAGGTTAAAGTTTGAAGTTAATTGAAGACATTCAGGTAGTCACAGCAGAGCAATGTAAGACACACAGAAAGAGACTTTGAGACATGCTTCAGAAGGTGGCAAGAACAACAATAAAAATGTGTTCAAAGTAAGGGGAACTATTTTGAGGGGAATTAATGGCATTGTATCTTTTACTTCAATATTTTTAAAAATCTTCCTAAATACCGTATTGTTTCTCTGGTGTGAGAAACCAAAAATGGAAATAAGGATTGAAATGTATAATGGATGTTGGGAAATGAGAAGAAAGTGTTCAAATAGGAAGGGGAACAAGGGAGGAGGGAGAAAGAAAGGAGGGAAGGGACAAGAAAAAAAGTGAAAATACAAGGAAAAAATGGAAAAAACTTTTGTACGTAGGGAGGGGAGAGGGCTTAAGGGAGGAAAGGAATGAAATAAGATTTATTAAAAAAATAAAAGAACATCTAATAAAAAAAAAATCTGCCTAATATGTGTGCGAGGCCGGGGGCACCCAGTACTGGGGATGGAACTCAGGGGCTTGCTCTTGCCAAGCAGGCGTGGTGCCACTGAGCTACATCCCTGGCCCATTACCTAATGTGTTGATCACACCTTGTAAAAGAATGTTATTTCTATCTACAAACTAAATAGTTCTATTAACATTTTTTCTGTTTTCAGGTGTTACTATTATATGTTATTTATGTAGATTTATCTTCTTTATTTAGATACATAATTGTGTAGTTTTTTAAATGAGAAGTTGATGAGTCTCCGATGAATGACACTCTGGCTTCTAGTACCAGTTGCAAGGCTAGGGGTTCCAAGACCACACTCAGGCTTGATGGTTAATTCAGAGGACTTGCAGTGCTAAGTGAAGCTGTTTCACTTATGGTTATGATTTGTTTCTGCATTATGGTAGATTCAAATCAGTTGGGAATGGTGCATAGGCTGAATCCAGGAGGACTCTAAGCATGACATTTCCAGTTTCCTTCTAGTTGACTTGTGAGCAGATCTAACTTTTCCCTACACAGATGTATGATGATGCTGATGGCCTATGGCCCACCAAGGAGGCTTGGCATTCACAGTGACCACTGGGCCTTGGTTCTGGTTGAACCTCCATACAGCTGGCTTTAGTTTCCAGCCCATGGGAGTTAGAGCTGATATTGTGACCTCACAGCTGTGTGTCAGCCCTCACTATCTAGGATGGCCTAGTATCTCCAGATAACAAAGATGGTCTTATCAGGCAAGCTGTTTAAGGATTTAGAGCAGCTCTGGGGGCAAAGGCCAGACCTCACTGGGGCAAGTCATTCTGTCACAGTGTCACATTTTTAAAATGCATTTTCTTCCCATATTATTTATGTAAAATTATCTCATTTACATTATATTATCACACATGAGAGATTTATAAAATGCATGATGCAATTTAATAATAAATCAAATGCCTATAGCTACAGAAAATTTTACCTTTACTTTAGGGGGTTATAACCCTCTTTAATTTTATCCTTCTCTGTATAAGAAGTAACCTTATCCCGAATCTTTGATTAAACATTAGCTTTTTAAAAAAATAAAATAATGTTACCAATAGTGTACATGTTTGCAAGCAATAAGTTTGATATTGACTGGTTTTAAATTTTACATGAATAAAATCAGATTATGTCAATACATTTAGCTATAGTCTATTCATTTTCATTGTGGTAGAAGATTACATTTTTTTTGAAAGTCACATTTCATTAAGTGCTTGGTTGATATTTGGACAATCTTCTTGCTGAATCTGATCCACTGCCTGTTTTATAAACAAAATTTTGTAGGAGTATTGTCAGGACATTTGCTTATGTATTATCCATGTCTGCTTTTGTTCTAGAGTAGCTATGACAGAGGTTATATAGATAGCTATGTGTCAAACCCTACTTTGAGTGTGGATTGTACGTTTGTACTAATTATTACTCTTTCTCCAACAATGCTTGAGTGTTTCCATTTTACAAACCCATCAATCCTTGGTATTTTACAAAGTTCTATTTTATTTTTGCAATTTATCATGTTTGGCATTTGCTGAACCTCCTTAAATTTTCAACATTTCCTTTTCAAACATGCTTCATTCTTTGTGATTTAGTCTTTGGTCTATTGGGCTTAAGATATCCTTACTCATCATGTTAGCCCAGTGTTTTTCCATCTTTCTTTCTCTGATATATATTGGATAAATTTGCCTTGCATGTCTCCAGTCTTTAATGCCTAATACATATGTTAATTTTTTACTTTCAGTATTCTTAAAATTTGTAAAAGTTCTACTTGTTTCTTCAAATCATCTTACTTCTTTTAATAAGTCTTGGGTTTTCTCAGTCCTGACATTTCAAGCTTTCTTTCATTTCTCTAAATAATTATTTTATTTTCTCATATGATCATTGCTTTTTCTCTTTCAAAAAAAGCTCAGAAATATCCTTTTTGGATATTTGGGTAGTTCTGGAATGTCTCTATACTGCCTGAAGTATACAAGTATATCTTCCTTCATGTAATTCCTATATGATGTTTCAGAGTAATTCTATTTTGATTTTTTCTTTAATATTCTGAACTTTTTGTATTTTATTTTATTCATAGACTTTGTTTCTCAAATAGAATTTATTTTTGCTCAAAAATACTAATAATTCAGGGATTGATATTAATCTCAGTACATTTATAGTTTAGATATGTCTTAATATTTCACCTTCTAAATCTTCTTTTCCATAAGGCTTACCATATATTTTTTGCCATTTTCATTTCTCATTCTTTTGATTGATTTTACATGTATTTTGCTTATTTTCCTATTAGACCTCCTGGTATTCTAATTATTTGAGATGCTTTTTATATTTGAAAGAAAAGTAATACTACAAATTTTAAGGCAGATCTTTTCTCTTCATCTTGCTTGCTTGTTTTGAGTGCGTTTGTATTTCTTTTGTAATGTCAGATATAAATTTTTTCATGGTTTGCATTGGTTTTTATGTTTGAATTCTCTAACCTGAGATGAGCCTATGTACACTGTTAAATTTTTCTTATTTTTGTCATTAACGTTTATATTTATTCATCATCTGCAACTTCCTTTGTACATGATGTGAAGTTACATTTTATTCATTCACTGTCAGTTACTCATTTATTATCCCTTTAACATTATACAGTTATTATTTTTTTTTGCTTGCTAGAGAATTCTATTGCTGAACTATCTTTTTTATTTCCATAAGTATCTGTTACTAGATCTTCTAGATCCTTTATTCCGTCTTTGGCTATGAAGGACTATAGGCATCCGCATTTCTAGCATAGGTAGCACATATTCATGACTCCTTGTGCTCAGTAATGTGTGAGGGAAGCTGGTGATAAGAACATAGAACTTAATAGGAAGAAAAGGAGCAAAGGGGAAGGGGAAGTGGGAGAGGTAGGGGAAAGGAAAGAAGGGAATGGAATTAATATGAGAAAATGAAAAAAATGGAAGTATTTGTAAGTAGGGAGGGATGGAGGGGTTGAAGGGAGGGGAGGGGAAGGGAGAAAAATAAGAACCAAGAGAGATTTTGTAAAGGTGCAAATTTCCAAAGATGAATGTCATTATATTGTATACCTAAAATATAGCGATAAAATAATATTTTTTAAAAAAGTGCTGAAAATGGTAAAAAAAAAACAACCCATAGAACTTGCCCTTTGTTCTTCATCTGTAGGTGATAATGTCCTCAAGTCTAAGAAATACAGTACAAGAATGAAGTAGATCATGTTTTCTGAGTTTTATGAAAAAATGATGTCTTTACCTACAGATAAGATGATGTAATTACCTACAGACCAGATGATATAGAAGTTCAGTAAATTAAAAAAAATTAATGTGTTATTGGTAGCAAGTTCTGAGTATGGTCAAGAAATGATGTAGTTTAAGCATGAAAATGTAATACTAGAATAAACACTAAACTGGCAAAAGAATTATATATAATACTGTGAAAATACCCCAAAAGCTCTTGAGAGTATCATTATAATACCACATATCTAAATATGAAGAAAATTATAAATAATGCTGGCAATTCTTAGTAATATTAGTATTTCCCTTTGGAAATTTTATCATGAAAATTTGTTTCCTAAAATGGGATTTTTAAGATTTTAGTTACATGCAAATGCTATTTCTGTTGCATGTTGTCTACGGTATTTCAGAATAATAAAGTACTGTTGTTACTTGTAACAGTGTTAATGTACTATTTAGCACTTCTCTGAAATGTTTTTTCTAACCTATTTAGTAGTGCTGGAAGATATTGTGCAAGCCTGTAACACGTATGTTTAGAAATATTACATGCACATACTGGAGTTTTATTTTTCATTACAATGTGATGTTTTTTAACATTTCTTTAAAAATCACATGAAAATTGGCATCATTCCTGTGATAGACAAATAATTATGCATTTAGAAATCGACTTTGGTACCTGCCTAATAATAGAGGATTGTGGTATTAGAAGTGGAAAAAAATATAAAATGTGTGAAGGAACGTTTCCCCTTAATAATTACATTAAATCTATAAATTTTCTTGTATGAATTCATTTTTGATTTTATAAATAAAGCTACATCTAAAATTCCTTTGTTACTTTATTCTTTATGAACCATTTCTCCCCCTCCCTTTCTCTTAGCAATCTTCCTGAGTTCTTTTCGGGTGCCATATGAGGAAATCAAAATGATGATATTGGAAGTGGATGAAACACAGTTGGCAGAGTCTATGATTCAGGTAAACAAACAAGCAGAGCTTAAATTCCAATATTTCATTGCAAACTCATTAAATAGAAATCTGTAAGTGAAGCAAAATTCTTAACCCAAATCATTCAACTGAAAAATCACTGCTGCATAATTAGCTTTAGCATAACTTCTGCATTGCCAGGAGATAAAACTCTGTATCTTCTCTTAACTGCAAACTCAATATAATGCTATCAGAATGATTACATTTCAATTATTTTAAAGCCTGTGAAAGGCACAGTGCTTCATTTTACATGTATATTTTTGGTTTTGTTACAGTTAAAGAATAGTGGTATTGTAATATAAATTTGTATAACTTTCATAGAATATGTTTTTCTTAGGCTTATAAAGTTGCGTTATTACTGATATAGGAAAGTAAGGAAGTTTTCATTAGTTATCTTTGCTAATGAGCCTTTCCTTAAGTCATCTGTGTTCCTCTGCATAATAGAGATTGTTTGCCTAGTACTCTATTTGTTCAGAAGACCAGAAGGGTTTTTGTTTTGTTTTGGTTTTATTTATTTATTTATTTATTTTTTTTGGAGACAGGCTCTTGCTGTGTAGTTCAGGCTGGCCTTGAACTCACTCTGTAGTTCAGGCTGGCCTGGAACTTGTGGTGATCCACCTTCTTCAGCCTCTTGAGGGTGGGGATTATGGGTGTGTGCCACCACGCCTAGCTGAAGACTAGAGGATTTTTAAAATGGTTTTTACCCTCAGATTTTTTTATTGAATGCTAGTGTGGTATCACAGTTATTTTCTAAAATCCATGTAGGAGATTATTTATATTTCCATAGAATTTAGAGTTGGAGAATCCTAACACAAATGACATAAGGAGAAAAATCTCTTCAGTTTACTCCCTTTTGCTCTTATACGAATATGCTTACAAGAAAAATTTTCTAGCAATTAAAAAGAAACCAAAATAATTTGTTAGTGTCAAGGGATTAGAATTATTTTAGATGCTTTAACTCATCAATAAATGATGTCTTTAGAAGTTTTTTTAAAAGTTTACCCTGTTAATATGCCTTCTAAAAAGTAATAGTGATATATTATCATTTATAACTTATATGTCTCTAAAATTCATAAACTGCCTTATTCAATAACTCTTCTTTAAGCATTTTTCTCCCTCTAGCAGTTGTTTTTTATAAGCTGAATTTTTGAATTTATTATTGTTGATTGTGTATGTGGCTTCTTGCTGGGAGCAGATGCTACATTCGTTAAAGAAAAGTTTTTCTCCTTAATACATGTTTGTATTTCTTATAATGAATTTGTTAAATATTTACAGAATAGCTTTTAAGTTGATTACATGAATGTTTTGGATGATCATTTGGCTTTTGTTGTCTACAAATAGAAAAAAGGTCATTTGCATTTAAAGCTCATGTTGCAAACACGTTTAGCTTCTTATAATTTCTTCATGTATTTTCTATTGCTGCTACAATTTACCACAAACTTCATAGCTTAAAATAATGTATATTTATTAGGTGACATTTCTGTAGGAAAGTCTGGCATTGGTGTCACTGGGTTGAAATCATGGTGTTGGCAAGTTCATTTTTGTAGGCTGTAGTGAAGAACTGTGTCTCTTTTTCAACTTCTCATGCAATCAGTATCTTTCTGTTTCTTTCTTTTATGGTCACAGCTCTGTTGTTCCTTCTTTGGTTTAAAAGTATTTTTGTGACTACATTGGGCACACTCAGATAATCTGGGACAATTGCCCTAATTTGAGCTCAGCTGATAGCAACCTCAATCCCATCTATAAATTTAATCCCCTTTATCACATAACCTATATATTTATAGGTGCTGAGAAGTAGACCTCAGAGTGGGTGTTGTTGTTATTATGCATACCATACTCAATAAATGTAAGACCAATTTTATGACTTTAAAGCCTAAAATATTTTTGAATATAAATTTTCCATACATTCATTAAAAATAAGAATTTCATGCTATTTGAACTCTAATTTTAAACAGATTTCCCCAGTTTTACATGTAGAACTACCTAATTGAACAGGGCTTAGACACAGAGCATTACCTTGTAATAATCACTATTTTAGTTGGCTTTGTTCACACTTATATTTTTATTTTCCTATATTTAGTTATTTCTGTGTAATAGATCAGCACTATAATATTTTTCATGGCATTTTTACACATCATTTTTTATCCGTTTAAAATAAATGTACATAATTAAAAGACCTTGTCCCACTAGACTTTTATTAATTTCTGTTACAAATTTTTTTTGTATCCACTGTATGCAGATTAGCTATTAGGCTCTATCTGAGGTAGATTTCACCTTCTTGGAATTTATATTTTGCCAAAGGAAGTAATATTTCATACAGGATAGACAGACAGTACCTTATGAAGTTTGGGTAGAACTACAGAATGTGTTGGGAGAATGCATTCTATGTATATGTGGATCCAAGGTTACTCAAAGGTGAATAAGGTATGAATGTAGGAAAGGCTGGGAGATTCTAAGAAAAGTACAGTGACAGGCAGTTATTCTGGTAGTATTAGGACTAAGCTGTGAGGGAAAAACTAGGTGTGCTTTGACAACTTGGAGAATTTAGTTTGACAGCAGCTTTAAGATTTCTACAGGGTGAGGGAAATTTGATAGGGAGAAAATAAAGGCAGGTTGGCCCACGCATTTACAAATCATGATCATTTTTCACCTTAGAGTCCAAAATAATAAAATGAAAATTAATAAACTCCTGTTAAAAGATTGAAATTAATATTAACTAAATTATTCATGGAGATTTGATAGTCATCTAAAGAATGCTAAAGAAATTCGGAGCCCGAGTGTAACGAGTAACCCAGACTATGGAGCGCTCAACAAAAATAGTTAAAAGAAAATAAAAATAACCAAATCTTTTCATCTCTATTTGAAAAATTATATGCCTTTATTATTTTTATTTACCTTGCTAGTATTACTATTAATTACCTTTCCTTGGCATGATCTTAAATTGTCACTTTTTTTGTCGTTATTGTCCATCAACAAAGTTTTTGTACAAAAGTTTACGGTGAGTCAGTGTATTAGTTACTTTTCCACCACTTGGACAAAATACATGACATTTCAACTGAAGGGGAAGGTTTATTTGGCTTATAGTCCCATGGGGTTTAGTCCATGGTTAGTTGGTTCCAAGACAGAAAAAGCATGGCAGAATGGCATGGTAGAGGACAACTGCTTACCCCATCACAGCCAGGAAGCAGAGAGAGAGAGAGGAGGAAGGAAGGAAAAACTGGGGAGAAGAATGTATCCTTCCACATGTGTGCATTTTTCAGTGACCTGCCTCCTACCAGGCCGCGCTTCTAAGCACACAAGACTCTTGGGAGAAATTTTAGATCTAAACCATAACAGTTCATAACTTCTTTGATCTAACTACCTTTGATGCATATCATGCTCTAACATGTAGCCAAAAAATCTTTGGAGATTCTTTTCTACCAGTGTATATGTAAATAAAACAAAGATGCGAAGAGGGGTTGAAGGGAAGGGAATGGATTGGGGAGAAAAGATGAAGCAAGCTATATCAGGTATAGGTACAAATTATCTATGATGAATGTTATCATTTTATATATCTAAAATGTACCAATAAAAATTCAAAAGGAAAAATCACATTCTGTAGGCTTAATTATAATTTGTACTTGAGGGAATAGGGAAAAAAGAACCAAGATACATCATGTACAGGTACAAATACCCAAGGATAAATGTAAACATATTGTATACGTAAAATGTACCAGTAAAAGAACTTAAGCAAAAAAAAAAAAAAATTGTACTTGACTTAAGGTTTACACAGAGATTACTGGCATTATAATTTGGAATTGTGAGCACCAACCACTCTTTTCCCCCCTTAATTTCATTATCAATATACTACCTACTTATACCATTTTGGAAGATCATGTTTTGAAAGAGAATTTATATAGACTTTGTGGGAATTTTTTAATCCTTTCTGTTCTACAGAGAGGGCACATTTATGTGTATTCTCTAAGTCTTCTTCACGTGGTTCTCTTCTTTAAGTGTGTGGGTTGGTAGGGCTGGAAGTGGACAAAGGAACTAGAGCACCCAAGTGAACCTGATTTCCAGATTACAAATGGTATAAACAAAGGTCCTTTTTAATCATGGGCAGTTAAGTTCCTAAAAGAGCTCTTTGTTTTTGTTTACAGGATATATCTTGTGTTTTCAATGTCCTTTCCATTTTTCTTCCACATCCAAAAAATTTCTTTGTCTTTATTTTGAAGATATCTTCAGTTTTTGTTATTAAAATATAATCTACTGATTAATCTTGCAAACACTGCCATCACAGTTCCCCTGATTTCTTTCTTCTCTATTCTTTTCTTTGCCCTATACTAGCAATATGATTTCTTTTATCCCCTCAAGTAAAGTATTAAGGTATGTTTGGCTTTGCCTTAAATTTCTGACATTTAATTTCCCTAATGTAATGGATCACATTTATCCAAGTGAGAAAGCTTTTCCTTTGCTATTGGTCAAGTTCTTTCTCAATTGTAAGCTAACCAAATAAACATTCAGTAGTGCTTGCTTTGAGTGTGTAGTAACTGGAATAGAGAAAAGGAGAATAGACTTCAAGATGTAGAGAGTATTACTTAAGGCTTGATATTAGAGAAGTTATCTAGGGAAAAGAGGCTAGCAATAACTTCTTCACTCGTTTCTTTTCCATAGTCAATTAATTAATTTTTCTAAAATTCAAGAAGTACATTTAGTAAAGATGTTTTCTTTTCATTTTCATTTTTAGAACTTAATAAAGCATCTTCCTGATCAAGAGCAATTAAGTTCATTGTCTCAGTTCAAAAGTGACTATAACAACTTATGTGAACCCGAGCAATTTACTGTTGTGGTAAGTACTGCATATCAGGGTGAACCCTTGAGGGGAGTTTGGTGCTGTGCAGAATAGGAAAGAGAAAATGTAAAGCTTTTTTCCATGTCATTGTCCCATACATTTAATGTTTATCTTGGTAAGAACATTCATAAGAAATGATTTAAAATATATATTGAAACTCTGGCCATAAGTCAAGTTTAAGAAGCTTTTGAAAAGTGTGTATGTGTATATATATACATATATATACATATATACATATATATACATATATATGTATATATATATGTATATATATGTATATGTATAATTTTATACTCTCTTTAATGTCAGAATGTAAAGTGAAAACTGCACGTTTTATGAGTAGAATATATTTGTGATTTATTCTAGAGCTGTGCTTTCTAATGTTCCAAGAGTAACTTCAAGTTCATGTTTTAATCTCTCACTTGAGTTCATCTTACAGTTTCACTCTGAAATTAGAAATACAGTATAGTCTCTTTCTCAACACTGAGAGTGAGAAATGAATTCATTTAAGATGTGTTCTAAGGGGGCTGGGGATTTAGCTCAATAGTGCCACTGCTTGCCTTGCAAGCTCAAAGTCCCGAGTTTGATCCCCGGCACCAAAATAAATAAATAAATAAATAAATAAATAAATAAATAAATAAATAAATAAGTGTTCTAATTTCCTTGATAGTCATCTTGTTCCTCCCTGTTTTATAGGAGCTGGGTGTCTAAAGAGGTAAAAAGTTTTGCCAATGGTATATATTAGCTGTATTGCAACTTAAAATTAAGATTTTTATCAAGTTTTCTTTCCTTTGCTCTTTTCTCCTGCCATTACTTGATCATTTCTACATTTATTACACTCTGTCATTATAATGATAAAGTACTGATTTTTATAGGATTATTTATTTTTCATGTTTAGTTTTATTAACAACCTCCAGGGTTGTTATGATCCCATGATGGGATCATATTTGATATAATTTTTTAAATTCAGGTTGGTTAACTTATCAGGTGTATCTGTACTTCATTCTCAGTATGCTGTAGCCATTTGCAATTAAACCCCTTCCTATATTCTCTTAAACCAACCTTATTCAGCTCCTCTACCCATGAAGTTCCCAGAAGTGCAAATAGAAAACAAAAGAGCAAGAAGCAGAGCTTGTCCTTATTCTGAAAATCTTAGAATTTTTCTTATAAAACCTTTTAATTAAAAAAACACTTTTCACTTTTTATCCAAATGGTACAGATTATTCCCCTCTTCCAATTCTTTTTTTTCTATATTTTTCTGTTGGCTTCATTTTATATTACCTGCTCAGTTTCTTTCTCTTGAGTCCCTGTTTGATATTCCACTAGACAAATCTCCCATATGAGAACAGGTTAATATGGGAGAATTTGTATTCAAGTCTTAATGAAAGAATATAGTGTTAATTTTTGCCCATCTCCTTTGAGTCTTGACTTAGAAGAATTTGTGAAATTATAATTTTATAATGTACTACATATATATATGTATGTGTATGTGTGTGTGTATATATATATATATATATATATGCAAGGTCATATGAAGATGTCTCTTTAAAATAACTTTTCATGTTGCATATCATAAAAAGATTTAAACCTGTTCCAGTGTCCTAGTTGTTGACATAAGAGTGAATTCAAATTTGTTGATAATTTAAATTCATTCAAAATGGCCAAGTTATTCCCTCTTTTAAAAGTCTAGAGTTTACAACCAAAGAGATACAATTTATAAGCAGTGTAGTGTTAGGAGTCAGAAAGTTAAAACAATTATCTTCTTAGATATCAGCATGCAATGTTATAATCTTGATTTTAAGATAGAGACGGAACATTTCCCTTTCAGGACATGTCAACTCAGGTTTGACTTGGAGTTCACCCACTCTGTACCAGGCCAAACCTGGGTGCAAATGGAGGAATGTTGTTGGAAAATATTTCTTATGGACAATATGAACAATGCTTTAGTCCTCTGTTAATTATGAGCATTTATGAACATTGTTTTATGTTTTGATTTGTGTGGTACTGACTCTTAAAACGTAATTATTTTGGCATTTAAAGAAGGATGAAAATTCAGCAAGAAATCAGATTTTTTAAAAGTTTTTTTCTTTCTCTTTTCACCATTTCCAGTCCAACTCCCTTACTTCTCCAACCCCTTTCCATCCTCCCCTCCTTCAAAAGGCGAAGCTTACTAAAAAGCAGTGATCAGCCCTTAATAATTAATTCAAATATATTGAGGAGAGTATGCTAAACAATGTGGAGCAACTAACATTTTCTCTTCTTCCTGCTATATTAAAAACTCATTGTTTAATTTTGCTATTTCATTAAGGTGTGGTCTGTTTTCAGTTTATCAACTCTCCATAATATGACAGTTTGGTGATTTTAGGAAACTTTATAATTACCATGTAGATATCTATAAGATTCCCATAATATGTTTCAATTTTAAAGTAACACATATTGTGAAATTATGTTTGTATCAAAAATGGGGAATTAATGGGCCGGGGATTTAGCTCAGTGGTTTCGCCGCCTGCTGAGCAAGCTCAAGAACCCAAGTTGGATCCCCAGTACCAAAAAGGGGAATTAATGTGAGGTTAGCTAAACTGCACATTTCTACAAGACTTTTATCTTGCCTGAAAAAATTTACTTTTTTGATTCAGCCTAGATTTAAAATAGTAATATTTTTACCTGAAAAATCATCACAGAACCACAGTTAAATGATTTGGACTTGACTTTACAACCCCTCCAACACTGGTACTTTAATTTGTTTTGTACCACAGATGAACTTAACTCTGTTTCATCTGTGGGTTCTGTAGACTGATACTGGAATTTCTAGCATTTTCATATTAACCAAAATTAGTAGAATTCTATTACTTGCCAGCTAAACTTTTTCTTTTATACAGTTATGTAAATTCATAAATTTGATTCATATGAATAACAGATTTCTCAGGAAATGTGTTTTCTTCATACTCCCAGGGTTGAGAGAATGGTTGAATTTACTGAAGTTGTTTGCATTATATAATCAGCTTTAAAACTCCATAAGAATTGTTTTTAAAAAAAGTTGCAATACTACCAGTACATTGGTGTTCATCTGCATTATTTTCTCTTTGATAGAAAGACAGTGTGCAACATCCAGAATGTTAGCAAACAGTGTCAGTTAAAGATCAATTAATTGAATGTTCACAGAATTGACATGCAAATTAGAAACATGTTTTACAGTTATCATGTATTACTTACAACTTTCCAGGGTTCTATGTCCTATGAAATACGAGATATAAATTTATTATCAGAAATACTATATGTAATTGCTCCTAGAGCTTTAGCTAAGATCAATGTGTATTTGTTCTTTTTTGAAATAATGTTAATTTCCATTAAATTGCTTGTCCTTGAACCTTTTTTCCATCCAACCAGACCATTGTCCCCAAGTTCCCTGTAATACAGTGTTTCAATCCATATGCCTTGCCTTTAATGCTTATACTACCTCTTTTTTAAATTAAGAGTCTTAAATACGAAATAGTAGACATGAATACTTATATTTTTTTCTGGTGGTAGTTTCAGGGATTGAACTCAAGATCTTCAAATTTAGCTAAATTCCCCCTGTTCCCCAGTGGTGTGTGTGTTTGTATGTATGTGTGAGTAGGGGACTGAGGACTCAACTCAGGACCTTTGCACCAAGCCATATCCCTAATTCTTTTAGTTTTTATTGTGAGACAGTGTCTCCCTAAGGTTGCTACGTTTCTGAGGCTGCAGTTAAAATTGCAGTCCTCTTCTTTCTGTCTCTCGATTACAGGCATGCACTACCACACTTGGCAACATGAATTCTTTTATGGTGCTGAGAATTTAGTTGTTTATCTGGTGTTTCTAGTAATTCAGAATCTTAAGGTACCTTCCTGAACCAATTCTCTTCACAGGTCTTATGACAAGGCATAGGACCTTTCTCAATATAGTTCTCAAGGTGTTTTAGAGGTGACCATCCATGTGTGTGGTATAGTAGTGACATGGTGATAGGTAGTCCAGTAGCATTTTTCTTTTTCTTTCTTCCCTTCCTCCTTTTGCCTTTCTTTTTCTTTCTCTTCTCCTTTCCCTTCCTTTCTTTCTCCTAGTTTTAAAAATTTAAGTTTCATTATTAACCATCACATAATTGTCCATATTTATTGAGCACAATGTGATATTTTGATACACATACGCATTGTATAATGACCAAATCAGGATAGTAAGTCTATCTTTATCATTTCTGTGTAATAATAGCAATTAAAACCTTGTCTTCTAGCTGTTTTTAAAATACAGAATTAAAATCCAGTGGTATGAATTCAGGGCTTTAGATCTTGATGATATTATTAACTTGTTTCTGTAGCTGATCATTTATGTATATCTTCTAGTCGATTTTCTTGTATGAAAAAATAATATCAAACAACCTGAAGAAACTTTTATTTAATTATAAGAGACTAAAGGACCCCCGCTCTTCCAATTGTATTTTAGGGGAGTGCTCTGGGAAGTGGTTGATCTCTATCTTTTCGTAATGAATAAGACAGTTTACACAATGTTTTTATTTGTTGTTTAGACTGTCAGAGTCTATCAGAGGACACAGATTTTGACTGATAATGCTTAATTTGAAATATTTTCCCTGGACAGTCTAGGAGAAAAATTTAATAAATTGGTCTATATTTGAGATGTAATAGCCTTTTCTTTTATTCAACTTACATTTCTGTAACACATAAAGAAATGAAAAAAACGTATTTCCTAGAAACAGTAATTGAATCAGTTGTCTATATTTCTTCTAAGGTTCCTTCCTTCTTACTTCAGCTGTCCCTTCAAAATATTGCGTACTTACCAATGGTTGATTTTAATGGATTAGAATCATACCTTAGTTGTATGACTGCAGTTTTTATATTTGCATGTTTTCTTTGATCAGTAAGCCATTAGGTAAAATCACTGTGTTCACAGTGGCATGGTTTTAACTGTGTGAGAAATGAGTTATGTAAATATTCAATGGGATCAGAAGATTTGCTGGAAGTTTGGAA